CCCTAGCAGCCCCTAAATCTCTCCCACAGTTTATTCCAGAGGCTCCTGCCCAGTCCCACCACTGCCCCCCCACAGTGCTTGGGTGCTCAATTACCTGGTACCAACCCCAGCCCTGAAACAAGGTCCCAAGAGAAGTGGAGCTTCTGTCTTGGGTGACATGTAGGCAACTTTCTACAGCTGCACCAACAACTTTGTCAGCCAGCCAGCAACTCTGGGAGACAGCCTAGTTTCCTTTTTGGTGTTGTCCCACCAGTCAGTGGCAGCAGGATCTAGACTAAATATATGGCACGAAAAACAATTAAGACTTCACTTACGTCACTTCATTGATGATGGTGATTTAAGTTCTGATGAAACAAGCAGTCAGAGAAAGGGAAGGTCCCAAGATTTAGCTCCATGCTTTGGTTTTTGCAAATTGAGAATACAAATATTTAACATAGGACTATCAAGATAACAATGTCTACACGGCTCTTGGATGGCCTAAAATGAAAGGTGTTCCAGATACACCTGTGAAAAGTATTACCTGCTTTCTCCCTTTATGACTTAATCAGACAAATCCAGTTCTGGAAAGGGTTATCTGGTAAAGGGAACTACCTCCACATGCCTAAACCCAAGCATCCTTCTGTCTTTGTTAGGGAATGTCACAACAAGGCTCTGGCCATCTCAGCAGGCCCATGGACATTGCAACCTGGAGCAGTGACATTACACAAATCCAGGCAGGCAGCAGGATTGACAGCAGACTTCACATTTTACTTCAGAACTGCTCACTGACAAAAAGCTGCTCTGCCCCTCTGCCCAAGAAACATCTACTTCAAACGCTCTCTGGAGGTGATGTGTGTTAAAAGTTAAATGATGTATAATGTTTTAGTCAAAAGAACATATACTGCTACAGAAGTGCCAGCCATGATTCCTGCAGCTTCTTTCCCCATGCAGAGACACTCCCCTCTGCTTATCATTTGTAATTACTCCAAAAGTAGCATCTTAAGTGATATAAATATGCATGTGATTGTTATCTCCAGTTAAAGTATCAGTATCCGAAGCCACCTAGATGTCAGTGAGAAATAAATTAACAAGAGAAACAAGCAACTCGAATCATACAAGAATATCTCAGCTCCAATTAAGTGCATATTTTTTATGCTGAGCAGCCTTTGATTAGCAAGACATTTCACTTCTGTGCGTGGTAACGAAAAAAGTAGAAACATGGAAAAACAAACAAAAGTGAGTTTGGTGTTAAAACCCCCCCCAGAAACTACACAAAGAGGAGATGGAACTTCACAAGTACTGCTGCCAGTCTCACAGTCAAAATGGTTTATTATCTCATTCCCAACAGGGACTAAAAATTTGTTCTATTACACTAGTGGGAAAAATCTGATAAATATTAGAAACATGACACCGATGTGCAAGTACCAATTTCCTTGATGGCAGCAAAACAAAGCTGATGGGATTGTTATCTGGGAAGCCCAGAAAATAGCACCTTGGTGTGATTTAAATGAATTATACAGACCAATGTAGTGGCATTCCACTACCAAGGAAGGGGAACTGACTGGGATCCAGGACTCCAGAAACTCACTCTTTGTTACCCCCAAACAATCACCCCATTCAATCCCTGCCAGGTCCACAGTGTCTGGTCTTCTCCAGGACACAACAGAAAGTTTTGCAACAGATCTTTGACAACTCTTGGGAAAGTTCAGAGTTGTTCTTTCTTGGGGGGGGGG